CTTGAGTGAGACAAAAATACCCCTTTTAATAATAGATTTTTATGATTAAAACGGTCATTGCCTTATTTACATGAGAAATAAAAGAACATGGGTAAATGCACTTACTCGGGTAAGTGTTTCCCAGGAAAAACTTACCCAGGTAACTGCATTTACCCGGGTAAATAACAGGGCCAAAAAAATAACTCCACGTTCAAGTTTCCACATTTCTCAGTATGTTTGAACCTTTTAAGTTACTGGGTTGGGCGGCATGATATAGTGGTGCAATGTCAAATCTTTTAGGGTCTATTTGATTCGTAGTTGGAATTGGAATCAGAATTGAAATCTCTCGGAATCAGAATAGAAGTGCTCTATACCCCTCACCTGTTTGGTTCAGACTGGAATCAGAATCAGAATTGGCTAGAATGGATTCTCATTCCCACGGGAGGGGGAGGGAATGGCCATTCCCTCAAATGGAGGAATGCCATTCTACCAGGAATGAGAGTGGACTTTTCTGATTCCACCCAACCAAACAGTTAGAATTGGAATGAACCAATTCCGGACCCCTATTCCTGAAAACCAAGCAGATTCTTAGTGATTCCATCATTTCATCGTGTGTCAATATGTATCATGTATGAAGAAAGATGCAATCTATATATAATTATATATAATAGAAAGAGTGATTCCATCATTCCATCATTTCACTATGTCAATATGTTATTATATGTATAGACCAACACATGTTTACTTGCATTGATACTCTGCAATCTATGTATGTAATAGAAAGAGGAGTGTGGAGGCCAAAGGCCTCGTATGTCTTAATTTTCTCTATCAAAACCTACCATTACTGTTCTCTAATAATATCATCCTTAAATCTGCCTCTCCCTTTTCAGTAGTCAAGTTTGTAATATCCTCCCTCCCCCATTAAATCCCTATTTTCTCTTAAATATCTTTGAACCCCTTATGACCCTTTCTAATAAAACGTGAGTACAAATTAGATGGGTTGAATGGGGTTAAGTGACAACCCAAGACTAACCCTAAACGTGGATCTTGACCTGGAACCAAACCATGTCAAAACCCAAATTTGCCAACCCCAACCCCAAACCTAACCAAATTTGTATTCAAACCCCATGCATTTGCAAGGGTTTGCCTGCAATCTTTTTCTTTTCTTGGTGGAAACAATAGATTCTATTCAAATAACTTTCTTTTGGTCTAAAAATTTGTTGGAAGCTCTCTAAAGGCCATGTGACTATGAGAAGTTTAGGACCTACCATTAGCAATTTATAGATCCATTGATGAAGTTATCATGTAATACTTATATGCCTGCATGCTGATAATATATTACTTCATAATTCATATAAACATTACCTCTATTGACAATGCAAGAATTCATTCAGGTTCAATTCAGCTACTTCAGCTATTCTTGAGCAACAGGGAAACTTCAGCTAGAACTCACCGATGCATTCACCCATTTGGTTCCTTATTTAACAATGAATTCAATTCATCATTCAATTCAACAAAAGCTGAATGCATCAATCACCACACCTATACCGACTGAACAAGCAATTACAATTATTCATCTTTGCATTGTTTTAGAATGTAGATGCCAACCAACCCAGATTCAGCATTTCCTTAGTAGGAATGAAACAAACTAACATTATCCTGTATAACTATGACCATCAACCATATCGGACAACAGTTAGTTGCATCGTTTACTTCCGACTTGTGAATGTCTGGTCAATGATCTCATGGACAGTCTTGTGCATTTGTGCATATATATGACTACTAAATTTGGCTGGAATCCAGAGAATTGTCTAGAGTAGCATTAGGACCTACAGATTGCATTTTCACACACTTAAACCTTCCTTGCTTTTGGAGGAAACTGTGTAGCCGCAATTTAGACCTTAGTTTAGCCAGAACAAGCCTGACCTACAACTGTCATGATACTACAGAGCCTTGAAGCAAGCTTACCTAGACAAAAGATCCTTCAGTTACAAATTAGGTTCCTAGTTCTTTTTTTTTTTTTGATAAATGCTTTTTTTTATGATTTTTCAATTTTACAAATTAGGTTCCTAGTTCTTATAAACGTATGATCTAACAAGTTAACAATGCAGAAGGAAAACAAAGATCCAGATGGTACATCATAACTTTTTACACTTTCAAAATTCATAATGTCTCAATTTCATTTACAAGGGTAATAATTAATGTAATCATGTAAATAATGGTAAAGCAACCACCTCAATGTATCCCTAATAAAATAACATTCAAGCTCTAGGTTCTTAGCTGGAAGTAGAGCCAATCTGCTAGAACCTTCATTCCACCTATGGTTCCACAACTCATATCTTATGAATGAATACTTTTTTTTTGGATCAATGGATACATCAGGAACCATAAATAAGGTATAAAAACATAAGAAACACATTTTAATAGTTCATGGCACTGAACATAATGGAATATGGTGAAATGTTGGGAACTACTGGCACTGGGACACAGGTAATGTTGGGAAGTGGAAAAACAAGACATATAAAATATGCTACTTGACACAATCAAGAAAAATAGGACTTGTTTGTAGAAGATCCCAGCACAAAAAAGTAGGGATATCATTGTGAAGACGAATGTATTTACAAAATGGTTCCAGTCTTAATCGGTTCCAATAGGGGTGAGCAAAAAAACTGAAAAACCGAACCGACCGAAAAAACCAACTGAAACCAAACTGACTGGTATACATATATTTCTATATTTATTTATGTATATTATATATATTATATTATATATTATTAATTAACAAATATGCATTATATATAAATATATAGATTTATAATATGTGATATATTATTTATTGTTTAAAATATAATATTATATATTTATAAATTTTCATTATATATTTATGTATATTTTTATAATATATATTGTAAAAATAAAAAATTGACGAAGCAAACCAATGGCTAACCGATTGGCTTCGGTTCGGTTTCGGTTACCAGTTTTCCAAAAATCGATAATACCGGTTCGGTTACAAAAAAAGGCCCATGGTTCAGTTAACCAAACTGTGAGCACCCCTAGGTTCCAAACAGGTAAAACTAATTCCTATCTTGTTATAATTAGGAGTCAAGGGCTAGGGGCAGACCAAAAAGGGCATGCACAAAGCTTATCTTTTTGATGACTCAAATGCAAACCCAGATCCTGTGTAATAAGTTATAATCAGTTCATCTGTTGGGCCAACCTGGAGCACTGATAACCTTAGGAGGGAAATGCAGTGCAAACCTAGCTGACAAGCAACATAAAATAAAGACGATTGCAAAGGAATAACACCCCACTCCTGGGGCTTCTCTATACATTCTTGTGCAATAGTTCGTTCATTCAATATGAACAAACCATTCATTATGGAAGCCAGTGATCTACTATCTTCAGTGAAATGTCTAAGAACTCAACTATTGATGATTGCATCATCCTACTATGGATTTGCAAGCAGCTTTATACCATAACCAGATTTAGGTCCACGGCAATTCTTACAAGACAGAGCATAGTTTTGCTCAAAGAAAGCTTCTTCTTCTACTGGGTAAATAGGTAATAGAATTGATGTCTCAATTGCTTTTCAAATTACAAAGCATATTTCCACATATGGGGCAAGAGGAGAAGAATCTATCTGTGGGAGATATCAGGTTCTTTTTCTGTGAAATGTTTCTTCAACAATCCAAGCAGGCAGTTCTCAGATGACTTTCCTTACTTTGGTGAGCACATGAAGTAGCCTTCTTGTGTTGGATTGTGGCATTAGCTAAGTATCTTACAAAGGACAGGTTGGTGAGGAGAGGTATGGACTGGAGAACATTGACTGTGCCGGTTGAAAGTTTGTCCAACATCAGTGTGTCCTTTGTGGACTTGAGGAAGAGACTACAGACCACATTGTTTGCACTGCGGTTTTACTAGAGAAGTCTGGGCCCTAATGTGAGGTGCTTTTAGCTGGAGAGGTTGCTTCCCTGAATCCATTATACAAGTTTCTTAAGGACTGGTGGCTGGCTGGACTTGGTGAGAAGAGCAAGGTGGTTTGGGGAATTACACCATTAGTGATTTTCTGGTGTATATGGTCTCAAGGAAATGAGTGAATTTTTGAGGACGGGGTAAATTCTATTGAAGTCGTGCTAAACAGGTTAAAAAGCACCTTGTGTTCATGGTTATCTATACAAAGATTATTCAAGGGTATGCCCTACCACGGGTTTTAAATATAATGATACTTGATGGTTGCTGCTTTTTTTCCTTAAATTACATATCTTGTGATGGGAGGTGTGGACTGATTGGTTAATCTGGTTTGGTTTTTTATGGGTCCCTTCTCCCTTGTACAGTTCTTTGGTGTACAAAGGATCATATGTACCTGTTCTGTTCAGATGCACTACAGTACTTGTCTAAAAGGAAAGAAAAGAAAAGAAAGCTTCTACTACCAGCTGGCAATGTATAAGAGTAATCTAACCAGCTGCTCTGCTGCTCCTCTATAAACTCCGTCTACACCCAAGGGGCCAGGATTGTCAATCAAGTAGTAATCAAAGTTTACTTTGTTTCTACCTATTCCTGTGGGTATCAACATCTCAATGCCGTTCCAGGTCTATGCTTTAACTAATATTCCAGGATTAGGTTTCATCTTTAATAAACACCATCCAAAGCCAGTCATTTCAAAGCATATACTATAATACTAAAAGCCCAATACTTTTTAATGTTACAATAGCAATCCAACTATGATTCTGCAAATTTATTTTTATGGAAAACTTCAAAATTGGTGAATGAGGATCACATTCCAGATAAGAAGTCATATGTACAAAAATTAATATAGAGAACAATTTCAGTTCCGACCATTCTCCTTTAGTTGGTTATGTACTACGTTGCAATTCTATTTTCTCCCATTAGAAACTTTATACATTTTCCTCTGAGAAGGTTCCATAGAACAGACAAATAGAAGAAAAAAATCCACATGCTGCCACTTAGTTTTTTCAGTAACATTACCCCAATGCATTCATGACCTTGTGGATCCTCACAAATAAACAAACTGCAAATTATATTAAAACCGCAAAATTCAAAAAGGGTGCAGATACATGCTTATATATTATGCACATAGATAATCTGCGAATACGCCAGGAACAACTATTACCCCAGATCTCCCAATTAATCACCATTGCTTTAATTGACAACTCAAAAAAAGGGATAGCAACCACCATCTAGAAAATCAAACAAACCCCAAATCCCAGACAAGAAAAATTGAAAGAACGTACCAACTACAGACAACAATTAATTGGGTATGAAACTGATGAATATTTGTCTATATAATAAAATCTCACTTGGCGACCATCCGGACAATGAAATCTTCGTAGCGGATCCGACCATCGGATCCAACATCGACCTCACGGATCCACTCATCAAATTCAGCGGGCTCGAGCTTCTCACCAATGTTGGTTAGGATGTGGCGTAGTTCGGAGACGGTAACGTAACCGGTGGAGTCCTTGTCGATGATCATGAATGCGTCACGGAGCTGGCGATCGAAGGGCTCGGACTTCATGTGTTTGCTCATGAGTTCCAGGAAACGAGGGAAATTGAAAGGGGAGGTCAGCTTCTCCTGAGCTACGATCTCCTTGAGTTGCGCTTGTGTAGGGTTTCCTCCCAGAGATCTCATCAGGATCCCAAGTTCCGACGCTGCAATCCGGCCATCGCCATCCGTATCGAATAGCGAGAATGCTTCCTTCATTGAGGCCACTTGATCTTCGCTGAGATCCTTCCCCATCGTTGCCGCTCTTCCTGTCGCTCCCTCCCTGTTTGTCAAAATTCCTTTGAGAGGAACAATGTTAAGAATAGCGATATTGCGTGTCGCGTGTCGCGTGTCCTTTCGGATTGGCCGTGCTTGGTAGCTTTTAATGACACAAGCAAGCGGGGGAATACGTATCGGTGCTTCGCGCATTTTGTTTTCCAGTTTTTTTAGGTATCATGCGTTGCCTTTTCGGTATGACAGTTTGAAATTTGAATTGGTGGGATCGCTGTCGTTGATGACATCATCGATTCTTCTACTATTATTAGGAGATATTTTCAATACACGGCAGCATGTACTATTATTGGGACATTGTGGGGCGCAGATGTAAGCTCTGCTGAATCGGATTGGTGTGGGTGGATTTCTGGAATTCGCATCGGCGCCTATAAAACGCGCCCCACAGCGCATCATAACCGTATATTCGACCCTACAGCGCATCACAACCGTGTGTATTCGAAACATGTCTCTACGGGAGATGTGCATGTAGGGGTCACTCGGATTTCTGGTACTGAGAACTGGAGCACTGATTAGGACAGAGCAGCGACCCATTCCTGTAATGTCCAAGGTAGGAGTGGGACCTGATCAACGCTGGCTCCCATACCCTCAGACTCAGTTCTCTGAGAGTTCACATCACGATCACATGTGGGGTCCTCACTTCCCGGTCCCGTAGCCCTTGGTGAACTGGATTCTGGCTCTGGGGAATGGGGACGTAGATGGGTTTGTGCCCTTTTCCACACTGCCCACCCGACAACACTAGTGTAGGTTTGAGCTTGGGCTTGGGCCTTATTATAATACACTCCAACCCACCAAGATTACAACACTATTCGGCTCAGGGAGACGGGGAGTCAGGGAGTAATAGCATTAACACTAAAAATGCCAAGGAGCCAAGGGAGTCAATCCCAAGTCTCCGCTAGCAATTAGTTCAGCGCTCGCTTCCGGATCGGGGCTGTGGAGATGAAGGACGGACGTTAAGTTGATAGGAGGAATCTAGTTGGCTTCTTCTCTATACCTGGATGGTCTAAGTACATCTTGATTAGCCTGGGGTTGGAAACCTCGTGCATTTTCTTCTCCTGCACTACCGTTTTCGGATTCGCTGGGACAGTTGTAATCTTGCTACTTCACTGAAGACACGTTTCGTTACTAGAGTATACAAATGGACACCTATTCGGCTAGGGAGTATTAACTGTCTACCATTGATATCTTATGGTGTCTTGTATTATCTGCTATGTAACTTGGTTTGTTAACTAGTAACTGGATTGGTATTAATTTGTCTTGCTATCTAGTTTAGTTTTAACCCAATGTATCCTTTCCTAGCAATTAGTTCACTCACCCATAATTTGTCTTGTGTTTTGCTTGTCTTCTTAGCTGCTTATTTATTTTTCATTTATGGTGTGGTACTTCTCTCGTCTTTTCTTCTTTACTCTCGTTTTTTCCTCGTCTCTTTCCCTTGCCCTCTTCCTTCTTTTCTTTCTTCTGTCGTTCTGTTGTTCTCTTCTCTCTCTCCTCTGTCTCTCCCTCTCCCTCTCCCTCTCCCTCTCATGGCTTGGCTGCTCGTAGAATCTTTCCAATGGATAACTTGGATGGACTAAATGAAGCCTTTCAGCAAATGCTTCAAGGAAACTGTCCAGTTGAAGGCTTACTGATCAATTCGAAGATGTGATTCAACGTCTTTATGAAGTATCCTAACTGTGATCTGGAGCAAATCATGAATCCAGTTATTATCGAGGAAGATAAGAATATGCTCCTGCAGCCCCCCTCTCGTGAGGAAGTGAAATCTGCCCTTTTCTCGATATCCCATGGACCACATGGCTTTCCCGCCTTGGTTTTATAAGCAGTTTTGGAATGTAATGGGTCCCGATTTAGTCTCTGTTGGTCCAGGAGTTTTTCATTAATAAGAAGCTTCTTAAGAAGCTCAATCATACTTCCATTTGCCTGATTCCAAAAAAGGTTGACTCAAGATTACAGACCAATAAGTCTGTGTAATGTCATGTATAACATCATAGCAAAAAGTAATCACTAATAGACTCCGGTTTGTTTCCTTAATTAAAGAATGTATATCTATGGTTTCTCACTCCATTCTTGTAAATGGTTTTCTGAGGGTCACCTGAAGTCTTCGCCAAGGACACCCCCTCCCTTACTTGTTTATTCTAGCTATGGAAGCTTTGTAAATAACCAGAGCCCACAGAGAAGAGTTAGATAACCTCAATCAGATCTTAACCTCTTTTCAGGAAAGCCTTTGGCCAAGTTGTAAATTTAGAAAAGTCTGGAATTTTCTGCAGCAAAAATATCCATCCCAGACTCCAGACAACTCAAAATTTGGCCTTTAAACAAGAATGACAAATACCTAGGGCTTCCCCTCTTTTGGTCAAAGAATAAGCATGCTAACCTGAATTTTATCTTAGATAATTACAAGCTAAGCTAAACAGGTGGAAGGCTTCTGCCATAAGTAAGGCGGGCAAATCTGTCCTTATTCAACCTGTGCTTCAACTTGTACCTCTCCATGCCATGTCTTTAATTAAATTCCTTCAAAAAAACATTACCCAAATTGAGAGTCATTCGTAACTTTTGGTGGGGTACCTCCCTCCAGCTCTAATAAACATCCAATCCACTAGTGTGCTTGGCAGATCTCTCCTCTGAAGTTGGTTGCCTAATAAAAGAGAATTCCTTGATCTCTTTGGGTCACAGTCCTTGGATCCAATCAGATGGGCAGTTTTCCTGGCCCCCCAGCCTCTTCTTCGTCAACTCTCTAACCTCAATTTATCGTCTTTCATTCAGAATGGTTCATGGAATCATAACCTAGTGAATTCATGCTTCTTGGAACCAGTGGCCTCCCAAATTCTTCAAACTCCAATTTACCCTTCATGCAATTCTGTCCTCTGGATTTGGTTACCTCATTCTACGGGTAAATCCTTTGTTAAAAGGAACTATCAGAAGTTGCTTCAACCTTCGATCCCCACCATAGATCCTGATTTGAAATTCTGCCTTATTCATCTTTGGAAATTGCCTATTTCCCCTAGATACAAGCTCTTTCTCTGGAGAATCCTAAACAATATGGTTCCAGTCAAATTCAATCTAAACCTAGAAGATTCTCAGAAATGCTGTATTTTCTGTCAAGAGCAAGAGGAATCTCCTCACCACTTATTTATCAGCTGCCGGTTCTCTCAAAATGTGCTTTTCTCTAACCCCTGGAACTTACACTTTCAAACCCTGTTTAACAATTCTTTGCTTGCAAATTTGAAACAGCTTTACAATATTTTAAAAGACAAGATCTTGTTTAGACAGGTTTTAACTTGGTTAGCTATAGCGTGGTATTATATTTGGTATGCCAGAAATGAGAAATTATTTCAAAATCATAATATCTATCCTCCTTGCATGGTGAAGACTATTTGGAATATATACTAACTTTCAGGTACTGTGGAAAGCCACAAACCAAACAAGACTCAGTCTTCTGATAATTCAAAGTGTGTTCTGTCTTTGTCTCCCAACACGGATTACAGAATCTTTACAGATGCAGGGAGAATTTCAAACTCTGAATACACTTTTGCAGTTGTTATTACCTCCCGGAACTTATCTTGCATCAAAATTATAGGAGGTCGCACCTCATCAGTTAATTCTATTTTACAGGCTGAATTGTTTGCTATGCTGCAGGCTTTCAAGGAGTTACAACAATGGACGTTTGACAAAGTCCACATTTGCTTACATTCTCTCTAGTTGATCTGCTCCTTTAAAGAAAGGCAAGATTTTGGGCATGTCATTGGCTTTTTGAACAATTGAAGCAGATCTTAAACAATCTGAACTCTATCTCTTTTGTGTATGTAAATAGAAAATATAACTTAACAACTCATGCGGTATCCCAGGTTGCTAAAACTCATGTTCAGCCTTCTTTTGTTTATTATACCTATATGCCAAGGATACCCAGACTGGAAGACTGTATATCCCTTTCTTTTTGCTAATATATGCTCATTTACTCTTCAAAAAAAAATAAAATAAAAAAAAAACCACCAAAATTTACATCTGCGCCCCACAATGCCCCAGAGCACATCCCACCAAAATTTGGCCAAATGGGAACATCTCCCGATAACAAGTATGGGAGATCACGAGACATCACCGGGAGATATTCATGTGAACTCACAAACAATGATGTATAAAAAGGTGAGTTTTTGGGTTGCAAATGTCATCCATTTGGCCAAATTGAAATTCTATCGAATTAAGGGTGATAAAAAAATCCATCTATTTGTAATTGTAATTGGACTATATATAGATCCATTTAATGCCTCGCTCGCTTTTTGGTAAAGTTATTTATCTGGGTAAATGCACTTATTTGGGAAAGTATTTCTCGGAAAGACTTATTTGGGTAAGTGTATTTACCCATATTCTTTTATTTCCTAGGTAAATAAGGCAATAACCATTTTAGTCATAAAAATTCATTATTAAAAGGGGCATTTTTGTAATATACAGGTGATGACAATTTTTCCCTAAGTGGGTAAGTTATTTACCCACTTAAGAGATGGGTATCACTTACAACAAAATAAACTTTCTCTAGTCCCCACATAAATCCAAATAGAATCAAAATCCCATTGACCAATTATGCCCCCTCTTAAAATCCAAAAAAAAGAACACCCCCAAAATACATACTAGAGGAGGCCTGTTTTTATGGGGCATATACTTGAAAGACATGCCATGCTTGAGCAATTCCCTAATAGAAATGGAATTGAATTGGTTTGGGGCAAGTTTAAATAATCTCATGTTTGATTTTTTTGTTTCAATTATGACAATGGAAAGACATGGTAGAAAAACATATAACCAAACAACCATCATCATAAAAGTGGTAATCAATAAGGTGGTATTCATCAAAATTTACTGGGGGGTTGTGTTGGGGACATGGCTGAGCTAGCCATGAGGTCCCTGGCCATCTGTCATAGCTCAGCCACGTTGGCACAGTCTGGCCGGGCTACCGCATTGCTATGATCCCGTCGGCTACGCCAGCTACACCCCTCACGGATAAGCCTGCCTAGCAGATAGGGATGGGAAGACAACTCTACCGAGGAGTAGGACTCTACCCCCTATAACCTTGGCGGGGAACTCTGCCTTGATTTCCTTGGAAACCTACTTCGATCAGGGGACCCTCTGGCTATAAAAAGGTACTCCATGCTCGAGGTAAGGGACTCTCTTGACTTCTAACACCCATACTGCTAATTAGCCCGGACCAGCATTCCTATAGCTCGGCCCGGCCATCCACCACCTTCTACTGACTTGAGCATCGGAGTACTCACCCGGGGTTAATTCCTCGGGCCTCTGACTTCTTCCTTGATTGCAGATCTTGAAGCGTGGCCTCGTTCTTGAAGCTCGGCCCCGACCTGCCAGCAAGGACTATATGATTGCCATCCTTGGTTCGCGCACTACCTCGGATTGAGCGGCATCAGATTGGCGCCGTTTGTGGGAACTACACAAAAAGCCTTTCCCAAAAATATCATTCCTTGTCGCGCAATTAAGATGCCTAAAAACCAGTCTGAATGATTAGTTGGTCATTCCCCGTCTCGGGAGAACTGACACCGTGACTCCCCGCACCAAGAAGTTACGCAACCTTCGGCCGCAGTAGATCCAACGCAATTCCGAGCCATGTAGGATAAGGTTGATAAGATCTTCGAATTCATGCAAACACT